TTTACATGACATTCCATTATTCAATGATGTAAGGAAACATAAATTAGTCTACTCTGAAGATAGGTCTTACCCTTTACTTGTAAGTATCAGTAATCACTTAAGCTATTTAGTTAGATAACTACCGGTGCTACATATTGTATCAGTATAATATTAAATATATTGTAGTTTGGAGCGTTTTTTGTTAGTTGTTAAATACTATCCATGCACTTAGAGAGCATTAAACTTGTTTAGTATGTTTAAAACAAACACTGTCTGTAAAATTAATGCAGTATGGGGTATAGTTATTAGCTTTTTAAAATTATATGTGGACCAAGTTTCAAGAACAAAATCTTTCTGTACTGTCGAAATTGTTCTTGATTGTAGGTTATTTAGTAGTACTGATAATTGTCGATTTTGTAAATTAAATCAAATTTATCTATGTCGTTGAAATTATAACTTGTATTATAAAAATATTAATAAAAAAGGAATATTTTAATTGGGTGTGACAAAAATTGATTGTGGTAACTCGGAGAGGGATATAAGACTGAGAGAAAGACCGTTTTGACCACAGCTCTAACTTTTGAGAGTGAAAAATCGTGTAGTGGTTATTTGGTTTTAGCTAATTGTATTTTATTCTTGTTTTATAAGCCTTTATACGGTGTAAAAATGCTAACTTAACCAGGAAAATGCGTTTTTGACACAACAGTTCTTAACTAACCTAATTGAATAGTTATTTGTGCAACTAATGAGAAAAGTGAGCAATTGACTCACTCGAGAGAAATCCTTACTCACGAGCCGTAGGCGAGTGAGGAATGGTTTCTCGAGTGAGGCAATTGTACTTTGAACTCGAGTTGCACATTATACTTTTCCTACAGTTACCATAAAACAAATAAATTTGTGAAGAAACATAACCTATTTTTACACAGAAGTGAACTTTTAATATAACATTTAATGTGAAGTGACAAATACAACGGTACAACAGCTGACCAGCTGATTTACAGCCAGTGCTGCCAACGTATTTCGCGCGCATACGACGTTGCCTGCATGTTACGCGCTCACTATTTCGTGCCTTCACGTTGCAAATCTGGAGTGAGACAAAGTAATTAGAGTGAGACAATGTTAACATTGTCTCACTGATGAGCGAATTGGCTACTTTGCTTTCTCAAATCAGTGAGAGAACATGTACATTGTTAGGTAACTGTAGGAAAAATATATACTCTGAGTCATTTAAATGATCTAGGGCTTTTTCAAAGTAAATTCAATGCATTATTTTTTAGAATAACTGCGACTGGTTTAACTATTTAGATATGGTGAGTTTGTAAGATATCGAACACCAGAAAATGTATACTTTGTCTTGCGAATTTTAGCTAGGGTACCTATGAAGAATTTTCGTTAAGGAATGTATATAATGGCTACGTTAATAATTAAATATAAATTATGGGTGAATATCAAAGCTCGTTTGCAAGTAGTCCATATAAACAAAGGAAATGTTTGTTGTTGAGGATGTTTAAAAATATAAGTATTTGATAAATAAAAATTAATTTTTGCAAGTAACGAAATTCGCGAATGTTTCTACTAACATTTGTGTTTTATTAATTCTTGGCTGAAAATACTGAAAATGGAAAAAATTGAGAACATGAAGGAGTGGGTTTTAAAACTGTAGAGTAAATACCTATAAACGAAGTTCCATTGTGTATTTTCCTATCCAAACAAACAACAATCAAGAGTCTTTTTAAGTGCCGTTTCTTTTCTTTAAGCAAACACAAAGACAAACAAAAGGTTAGGTTGAAGCCCCAATAGATCGAAAGAGAGGTGAAGGACAGATTTGATTGTGGCAGTATCGACCCTGGCAATCCTTTAGGAAGGATCAAGGTCCAAGGCTACGTAATCCTGCTGCAGGAAATTTGGCAAGATAAGCCTACACATCCTCCGGCCTCGTCTTGCGGTAAGCTGTAATAGGGTTTACAGAACACTGTAAGTATATAAATAAATCAGGAACCCTTTAAAGGGGTCAGGTTAATTTTTCACAAATAAATAATCTTTTAATCCTGATTGTAATTTAAATGTGGCATAATTTTCTTGTGGTAAATTAAAGTACAACGCAACATTCATATTTTATATAAATCTGATAATCGAATGACTGGTTTATTTATATATTACTAGCTGTACCCGCGGGCTTTGCCCCGTTTAACTTCATAAGTGAGCTCGTTCGCATGGCTCAATAACGTCCTGGTTGAAGTCCGTTCAATACTCTCACTCACCTTTAGGTTGGAGCTCGTTCGCTGCGCTCACTTGCCTTCAGGTTAGCTCGTTATCTAGATTAAAGGAGACATCACATAGAGTATCGAATAAACTAAGACACACTTAAACATTGATTGTGGGTGGTATTTTTATTCTCTGGTACACTTAAAGAGGGCACACAAATAAAACATTTTGAATAGAAATAAACGTCAGAGATACAAGAATACATTTCAAGTTCTTATTCTCTGCAGAGAATGTCAATCTAGAGTCAGAGAGACAACAATACACCATCGTCGCGCTGGCGACAGCAAGCCTTCACCAACAGTTTGCGATTATTGCAATAGTAGCTGTCACGGTACACTCCTTTATGTTTTACTAAACTTACGTAAAATGGAAGCAAATAAAAAACCGACTCAACTCAACTAGTTATCAAAATCATTTACAAAAAAACCTAAAATTTAAGAAAATACTCCTAAAAATTATTTTTTTGAGAAAATTATATTGATCACAAAAACGTAAACAAATAGTTCAAAGTCGGGGTTTTATTTAGTTTAGTGTATAATTATTACTGTGTATAATAATTAGTAGTCAGTGTAGCTTATACACTAACCTCTTTACTTTATAAAGTTTTAGGGAATAATAGTATTATTACAAATAAATATTATTAAAACTATGTAGAGTTTTATTAGAAAAAATAGTTATTTGTGCAACTCGTTAGCAAAGTGGGTAAATTGCCTCACTCTAGAGAAATCCTTACTTAGAGAAATGGTCTCTCGAGCGAAGCGATTGCACTTTGCACTCGGGTTGCACATTATATTTTTCCTACAGTTACCATAAAACAAATAAATTGGTAATGAAACGTGCCTTCACGTTGCAAATCTGGAGTGAGACAAAGTTAAGTTAAGTGTTAACATTGTCTCACTAATGAGCGAATTGGCCACTTTCGTACCTTCACGTTGCAATTCTGAAGGGAGACAAAGTAATTGGAGTGAGACAATTTTACCATTGTCTCATTGATGAGCGTATTGGCCACTTTGCTTTCTCAAATCAGTGAGATAACATGTACATTGTTAGGTAACTGTAGGAAAAATAGTTATGTGTATCCCTATACTATTGTTTTGTTTACATATTTGTGATACCTATACAGTTTTTAGTATCAATATTCTTATTATAAAATCATCGCTTAAGCTCAGACCCGTTGAATTTAAAATGCAAACAATAGTTATTTGTGCAACTAGTGAGAAAAGTGAGCAATTGACTCACTCGAGAGAAATCCTTACTCACGAGCCGTAGGCGAGTGAGGAATGGTTTCTCGAGTGAGGCAATTGTACTTTGAACTCGAGTTGCACATTATACTTTTCCTACAGTTACCATAAAACAAAAACATTTGTGAAGAAACATGAAGAAACATAACCTATTTTTACACAGAAGTGAACTTTTAATATAACATTTAATGTGAAGTGACAAATACAAAAGTACAACAGCTGACCAGCTGATTTACAGCCAGTGCTGCCAACGTATTTCGCGCGCATACGACGTTGCCTGCATGTTACGCGCTCACTATTTCGTGCCTTCACGTTGCAAATCTGGAGTGAGACAAAGTAATTAGAGTGAGACAATGTTAACATTGTCTCACTGGTGAGCGAATTGGCCACTTTGCTTTCTCAAATCAGTGAGAGAACATGTACATTGTTAGGTAACTGTAGGAAATAGTTTGCTTTTAAGTATATTTCTTGTTGTATTCATTTGAGTTAGCTGAAGTTGTATTTAAATACCTATTCGGTCTAGTGTTTGAGACTGTTAGATAGTTAAATGTATAAGTAATTAATACATCAGCTGATTTATTATTATTAAGTTTGTTAGTAAATATTCTGCTTAGGTTGATGTGGTTAAGATTTCAATAAAATGGTTCTTTTATATTTTGAATATCATTTAGTGTAATTCTATATTGGCGACGATGAGTAAACGAACCAAAAGAAGAAATAGTTATTTCAATGAAGAAGATGAGTATGAAACTAAAGAAGACGCATTTCAATCAAAGATAGAGAAGTTCAAATGTCAAAGCTATGATGAGTCTAGTAGGTGGGATGATTATGAAGCACATTTTCTATTGTTATGCAAGGTAAAAGGATTGGGAGAAGATTCTCAGAGAGCAGAGAATGCTCGAAGGGATCTTTTGCTTGCCTATGTGGGTCCTGCACCATTAAGAAAAGTTTCAAACTTATATATATAGCGACACTACTTATATATGTCAAAGACTTTATGAAGTTCGTGTGAGTAATCATCCTTTTGTACACATCTGATGATGACGTACTAGCAGGTCGAAACTAGTTATGGAATAGAACAATTGGATTGCCAGAATCAGGTATTTAAGCCACTATTATTATTATTTTTTTTTCCTGTTTCTTCTTATTATGTCAACGTCAACGTTATTTTATTGTAATATAGCAATCTATTTGTTAACAGGTTCCTTACTATCTGTGACTTAATGAAATAGATTAAACATAAAGTAAGGTCTCTATAGAATTACACTAAATGATATTCAAAATATAAAAGAACCATTTTATTGAATTCTTAACCACATCAACCTAAGCAGAATATTTACTAACAAACTTAATAATAATAAATCAGCTGATGTATTAATTACTTATACATTTAACTATCTAACACTTTTCCCCCCTTTATTTTTACACGGATTCAACAGCTCCCATTCTTTTTCTCATCTGGTCCGCATGTTTCCTTTTTATAACACCTCCACAAAGTACATCATATGAGTACAGTCAATTTTTATTTTTCACCATTCCAGCTGACCAACCATTTCCATGTTCATTCTTAATCCACACATCTTCTCCCTCTTCAAAAGTTCGAACTTTTTTGTTGTCCCTCCATTGTTCTTTCCAAAGCTTCATCTCCATCTTTTTTCTAAGATTAGGTTTCATATTGTCAAAAATTGTTGGTAGTCTACGACCGAGAAACAATTCTGCAGGAGCCCTACCAGTTGTTTCCTGAGGCGAGTTTCTGTAGCTAAAAAGAACATTTTGAAGAACTAGCATTCCATCTCCAACATCCTGCTTTGTTGTGTAGAACCGTCTTTTCAAAGTACGAATTAGTCTTTCCACAAGTCCATTACTTTTAGGATGGTAGGGAGTTGTTTTTATGTGGTTGATAGAATTTTTCTCAAAAAATGTTTCCATTTCCTTTGATACAAATTGAGGTCCATTGTCTGTCACTATTTCACTTGGTATTCCATATCGACTAAACCAAGATCTCAATCGTTGAATGATTGTTGAAGAGTTTGTTGTCTTGAGACAGTCCACTTCTGCCCACTTTGACAAAGCATCAATACCTACCAACCACATAGATCCGTTGACTGGCCCTGCCAGATCAATGTGTACCCTTTCCCAAACTCTATCAGGTACATTCCAAGGATATAATGGTACTTCTTCCACATTATCTCGATTCTCTTGACAAGATGTGCACCTCTTGATATAAACTTCGATATCTTTATCCATGTTGGGCCACCATACATAGTGTCTTGCTACAGACCTCATTGATACAATACCAGGATGTCCTGTGTGCAATATCTTCAGAACATCAGTTCTCATGCATTCTGGAACTACAATTCTTCCAAACCACAATAATATGTCATCTTCTACACTCAATTCATCTTTCCTCGGTTTGTATGACTTCAACATTTCAGGAACAACAGGGGGCCATGTATTTCTCAATACAAAGTTTTTTGCCATTTTAATTGCTTTATCTGTAAATGAATTTTGTTTCAAGAGGTCATAAGACATGATTGAGTTAACCTTATCAACATTCAAAAAGCCAATGTGAGCCTCCTCAGGTTGATCTTCTTCAATCGGAAGTCTTGATAGAACATCAGCACACACATTATCTTCTCCTTTTATGTACTCTATGTCATAGTTGTATTGATTCAACTGGTGAGCCCACCTCACTAAACGGCTATTTACAACTTTTGGAAGATCTCGCATATTTCCAAATATCCGTTGTAGAGGTTTGTGGTCGGTTACTAAAGTAAACTTCCGACCATATACATATTGATGAAATTTCCTGAGTCCAAACATAATAGATCCGTTCGCTTCTCTGTCGATATTTGAATATTGTTTTTCAGCGGGCAATAGTGTACGACTGGCAAAAGCAATTGGTCTTTCTATTCCATCTTCATACCTGTGCATTAGTACACTTCCCAATCCATTTTCTGATGCATCACAGACCATTACCAATGGTCTCATTTCTTCGTATGGCACTACTGTGTCTTTACTTGATAGAATTTCTTTTACTCTTTTAAATGTCCCCTCTTCTTGTTCGGACCATTTCCAACGCGATTTAAAGTGGCCAGTTCAAAAACATCTTCAGATGTTAACTTGTCACCATTTTCTTTTACCCCATCAGGCCATCGTTGTTGTAGTAAAAAACATGTGTCTTCAATTCTTTATTATTGTTTTGTTGTGTTTGTAAACAAATCTATTATAATTCAATGTAGTATTGTTCAAGTTATTAAAAACCTTTCTAAAGGTGATAAAAGTTCTTTTTCATTCATTCTTACTCTCATTACAATTTTAATAATGTCCTGTGTGCAATATCTTCAGAACATCAGTTCTCATGCATTCTGGAACTACAATTCTTCCAAACCACAATAATATGTCATCTTTTTAATTTTAATTATTAAATCTCACAATTTTAATAACTTGATATTGTGAAATGAATACGATCCTAAAGCCAGACAAGTTTAGTGTAGATCCAAACTCATCATCTGCAAGTAAGGAATGGACACATTGGCACAAAACGTTTCAGAATTTTGTTACCAGCATTACACCACAACCATCCGACTCCGATAAACTCAAAATACTTATAAACTTTATTACTCCGGAAATCGACGAGTACATAAGTGAAAGTGGTACGTATAACGATGCTATATCTGTGCTAAGAAGTATCTATGTAAAACCTGTAAATGAAATATATTCTAGACATAAACTATCTGCACGTCAGCAGCAACCTGAGGAGACTATTGACCAATATCTCCAGGCTTTAAAATTACTGAGTAAAGACTGTCAGTTTAAAGCTGTCACAGCTGAAAAGAATAGGGATGATTATATCCGTGACACATTTATTGCTGGAATAAAATCTTCTGCAATTCGCCAGCGCTTACTAGAAAATGTTTCGTTGACACTAGATGAGGCATATAATCAAGCCAGATCCCTAGAACTTGCACATGAGCAATCATTAGCTTTTCAATCTATAGTAAATGCAACTTCGTCCCAAGAAACCCAAGCGAGCAATCAGAATGTTGCAACTTCAAGCAGTTTAGAAAAGTGTTCTCTAGCTGCTGTGACTGAAAAATGTTTCTTTTGCGGTGATCTAAGACATCCTAGGTTCAAATGTCCAGCTAAAAATACAAGTTGTCATAACTGTGGTAAACAGGGGCATTTTACTAAGGTCTGCAGGGCAGGTAAATTACAAACCAAGTTATCCGAACAGAACAGTTACAAGACACTTACGCCTATCTTGATGATGTCACAATCTGTGGAAAAACACAAGAGCAACACGATATAAACTTAAAAAAGTTTATTGAAGCTGCATCCAAACACAACCTAACTATTAATAATGAGAAGTCTTCATTTTCACTGCGATCGATCAATTTGTTGGGCTATCATATATCAAACAAAACTATCAAGCCTGACCCCAGTCGACTAGATCCTTTGAAAAATTTACCTCCGCCCAGAGACACCGCATCACTGAGGAGGACCCTTGGTATGTTTTCACATTATGCATCACTTATACCAGATTATGCTGCCAAAGTGATTCCACTTGCACGTACTACATTCCCTTTGTCCAAAGCAGGGCTCCAGTCTTTCGAAACTATAAAAAGTGAAATCATCGGATCTGTAGTAAGCTGTATTGACCCTGAAACACAGTTCATCGTAGAAACTGATGCATCTGAGAGTACCATTGCTGCTACTTTGACTCAATCGAACCGTCCAGTCGCATTCTTCTCAAGGATACTTTCTCCAGCAGAACAAAGACATTCAAGTGTCGAAAAAGAAGCCCAAGCTATTGTAGAAGCACTGCGGAAATGGCGTCACTATTTGGTTGGTAAACATTTCAAGCTGATTACTGACCAGAGGTCGGTTTCTTTTATGTTCGATAACAACCGTCATGGCAAAGTGAAAAATGAAAAGATAATGAGGTGGAAACTGGAATTGTCGTGCTTTCATTATGATATTGTATATAGACCCGGTAAAGATAATATGGCTGCAGATGCCCTGACTAGAGTATGTTCTTCAATCCAAAATCAAGAAAAACTGTTGATTGATTTACATGCGAATTTATGTCACCCAGGTGTGACACGTTTATACCACTGGGTTCGGAGTAAAAACTTGCCCTACTCGATCGATGAAATCAGACGAATAACAAACTCCTGTAATGTGTGTGCTGCTGTGAAGCCTAGATTCTTCAAACACAAAGGGATTTTGATTAAAGCCACTTCTGCATTTGAACGGCTGAATATCGATTTCAAAGGCCCGCTCCCTTCATCAAGTCGAAACCGTTACTTATTAGTAATAGTAGACGAGTTTTCACGGTTCCCTTTCGCTTTCCCGTGTTCAGACATGTCATCGTCAACAGTTAAGTCGAAACTAAAAACATTATTTTCTACTTTTGGGGTTCCTAGTTACATACATTCGGACAGAGGAACATCATTTCTGAGCCAAGACTTAAAAAGCTTCTTGAACTCACTTGGAATCTCAACTAGTAGAACCACTGCGTACAATCCAGCAGGTAATGGGCAAGTAGAAAGATATAACGGCATTCTATGGAAAACAATTGAACTGGCATTGAAATCACTTAACTTAGAAATAAACCAATGGGAGACAGTTTTAGAGGATGCCCTCAGCTCAGTGAGATCATTACTTTGCACAGCCACAAATCAAACTCCTCATGAGCGTATGTTCTTACATCCACGTAGATCTGGGAACAATGGTGTTTCAGCTCCTTCATGGCTTCTTAATTCCGGCCCTGTCTACTTGAAGAGATTCAATCGTACATCCAAGTATGAGCCACTTGTTGAAGAGGTCCAACTTCTTCACGGAAATGCCGAGTATGCTCATGTTAAGTTGCCTGATGGAAGAGAAACTACCGTGTCTACACGTCATCTTGCTCCGGTAGGTGAGTACCAAACCGACATAGAGCAAACCGATTTTGATAGTGATGAAAATACTCTATTACCCACTTCTCAATCTGAACCTGAATACTTTCCTAGTCCATCATCAACACAAAATCAAGAAGATGAAATGAATACTACTGCCGAGAATTTACAACCTAGACGAGAAGCTTCTAGAGGAGAGAACCATGACACATATCCGAGAAGAAGTTTCAGAAGCAGAAGACCTCCTAATTATTTAAATGACTACGTTCATTAACATTAGGGAGGAAGAATGTAGTAAAAAACATGTGTCTTCAATTCTTTATTATTGTTTTGTTGTGTTTGTAAACAAATCTATTATAATTCAATGTAGTATTGTTCAAGTTATTAAAAACCTTTCTAAAGGTGATAAAAGTTCTTTTTCATTCATTCTTACTCTCATTACAGTTGTCTAATTTCTACTTCAAACTCTGGAAAATTTATACCTCCAGCAAATCTGTCTCTTATTCTTTCATCAAACTTGTTCTCATACTTACAAAAATCTGCTAAATTTTTCAAACGTATTACAAATTCTGAAAGACTTTCACTATTTTCTCTGATACTTTTTTCAAATTCCATTCTAGCTGAAAATATAGTTTTACTAGCTTTGTATACTGACCTGAAACCATTAACTAGTTCTGCCCACGTAGCCTGATGTACTTTTAAAGGCAGCAGAAAGTTTGAAACAAAACAACTACTACTATATAAGCGCTATATAGTGACTTATATAGCGCACACAAGCTAGATATACTGGTGAGGGGAGGGCAGAGACAAGGGAGCCGGCGAGTGACAAGGAAATGAGTGTGATACCTGACCAGCTGTGCTACAGTCCATACTCAACTTCTGCATCACCAGCAACGGTTGTTATGTTGTCATTAAACACCGGCTCGTCGTGTTTACAATTTTATTTTATCGGTTTTATGTGTGTGTGCGTGCTATGTGTCAAAAACTTATACCTTATACTTATAACTTAACTTATAAACTTACAACTTATACCTATGAGTAAATAACTTTTAATCTTGACGACCTTCACCTGAAGTAATCATCCTTGTACACACATGATGATGACCTTCTTGCAGTTCACGCAGTTCACTAGTTGTGGAATACAACAATACAACAATTTGGATTGCCGGAATCAGGTATTTAAACCACCATTATTAGTTATTCTTCGCAATCTGGAGGCTATTGATACTAAAACGAAGAACTATATGCATAAATTGTCTTTATCTTATTCAAAAGGATGATGAATGTACAGAAGAAAATGTTACATCCATTCCCATATGCTAGAAAGGTGCTTATTGTTACAAAAAATACGTTTATTCATGGGCTAATCCTGAACCCACCACCCGAAGATATAGGCTTATCCAGATTATTAATTGACACAACGATTAAAAAACTTCTCATATTAAATAATGAAATAAAATAGAACTATTTTTGAAATTTCGTTTGTACCAGTGTAAAGTGGGATGGTGGTTCACTAGCTGTGATTGTTTACGGTCTTGTGGGATTCTGATTGATTAGTATGGACAACGCGTATAGCCAGGAAACACACAGCATGGTAAATTTGCATTCGCAGTCATTGAGTGGGAATACGAATCGGTTCAGTGCAAATTATGTATGATATTTTATTACCGAACTATTAATTTGTGTCAGTTATTTGGCTTGTGATATATTACTATTCCGATTGTTAATGTACAGAGTGGAACGAAGTTAGTGTTAAAGTTTTAATATGTTTAACTACTTTGTATTGGTTACTAAATGGCACTAATTTAGATTTACATACCCTCACAG